GCATGCCGTGGAGGTTCATGCTTGTATGCACATCGCAGTGTCATCCCTCATATAGCGTTAGAACGTGAGAATGGTACTAACCAGCTACCTGTAATTGACAAAGCAATATCCAACTCCCTGCCATACACATCTTCCCGGCGCAGTATGCGGACTGCTGGACTTTGGGTATCCTAGAATGTGGTAGCAAGCCGCGTTACCATCACACGACGTACTCGGCACCTACCACGAATCAAAGAAATAAGTCTACAGTAATGCGCCACAGAACGAATCCCCAAGGAGATCAATTAAGACTTAGTCTATGCCATAATCTAAGCTAATAGTTCGAGCTGCACGTTCCCGGTAAAATCCACGCAAACATGCTCACATGCAGGCTAGAGCGCTTGACGCCGCCAATCAGAACATCATTGGCGGCTAACGAGCACTTTTCGACCATGGCTGTAAAGCCTCTCACAACCTGCTCATTAGCGAACCACATCATTAGAACGCTCGAGTAATGCGGCTTCTAGGCCTGCATTGCAGACGGGTCACAACTGTCGCAGGTCGGGACTGAAAAGGAACTAGGTTGCGGGTATAAGCTGGTCTGACTTTTGCCTCGAATATCTCTGGCTCACCGAGCATCTTGCGCCCACGTCGACAACACCATCATGGAGTTGCTTTGGCTCTTCCTCATTTCGGCGATTCCCGTCGCTCGCTCGCATTTGACTTCCAACAACTTTCCCGGGTACGGGTTTTCCTGGTACAGCCCTAATTGCGGTTTCTCTTGCTACAATGCTGTGTCGTCTGCCAGCCTCGAATGTCCTGCGACCGACTCTTCTGATGGCCACGACATGGGCATGGACATGGACATGGCTGCCGGAGCGCCGACACCAAGTTGCCAAGCACAGAGTCTACCCTTCTTGGAGACCATAGCTTACTGTATGAGCACAAGATGTGGCGCAGACACTCCAGTCTGGAAAAGAGAAGAATTCTGGGCGACGAAACTCATCACCGACATTGTGCCGAAGTGGACCTACTCAGAGTCGCTCGCAGAGCTCGGGAACTCGACGCCTACTATGGTGTACAATGCAAGCTCGACCGAGGTCATGACCATGCCCATGGTGATCAGCGACGCCAGCTATGATATCCAGTTCAACTTCAACCGGCTTTTCGACCACATTGAAGCGCTGCAAGCTCGATATGTGTGAGTAGAGCCGCCGTCAGTCAACGAGTTTCTCTAAAATATAATTAGTATTGTCATTGTCGTCCTGGGCTTCAGCATTCCAATCCTGTGCACACTCATTCGCAAGCTGCCGTTCGCGACTGGCTTACTCGACAAGCTCAGACCCTATCTTGTGTATCCGTCTACAATCGGCTCGTACCAAGTACGTCCACTGCCTTGGCTCATCGGTAACGCACCGACTGTCGGGCAAGCCGCGTACATATTCTTCTTCTTTGCTCTCAACGTCATTTTGAGCTCGGTGAACTATGGTAGTTCGCAGCCGCATCCATGGGGCTTCTCGAAGAAATCGGAGATGCTCTCTTACATTGGCTATCGCACTGGACACATTGGATATGGTCTCCTGCCCCTTGTCATTCTCTTCTCGAGCCGCAACAACTTCTTGCTCTGGATCACCAATTGGTCTTACGGCACGTACCTCTTGCTGCACCGCTGGATCGCTCGCATCTTCGCCGTCCAAGCCATCGTGCACAGTATCGCACTGTTACTGTGTTACCAAGGATCAGGCAGCTATCCAGTCGAGTCCGTCAAGCCGTATTGGTTGTGGGGTATCGTCGCCACTGTATTGACATGCGCTATGCTGGTTTTGAGCGTTCTCTATTTCCGCCGCCTCGCCTACGAGGTCTTCCTTATCCTTCATATAATACTTGCTGTCTTCGTCATCGTGGGTTGCTGGTACCATGTCATCCTAAAGTGGGGCTACAACTTCTACGACAACTGGCTCTACGCTGCCATCGCAGTATGGTTCTTTGATCGTCTTGTCCGCGTGCTACGCGTGCTGAAGAATGGCATGCAGTACGCCGATGTCACCGAAGTGGGAGACAATTACGTCCGAGTTGATCTTCCTGGTGTGCGATGGGCGGCGAAGCCAGGCTATGTTGGCTACGTTGGATTTCCAACGCTGCACCCGCTGCGACCGTGGGAGAACCACCCTTTCTCTATCAACTCATCTGTCTTGTTCCGAAGCTACAGGCATGCCCCAGCACTGGCATCTTCGAGTGATTCCACATCGGACGGCAGTCACGCCGAAGGAAAATCTCCTGATGATAAAGCGCAGGTGACTCGTGTTACGCGCAACGTCAGAGATCCAGCAAGCACGACGGGGGTGTCTTTTATCATCAAGAAGAGGACTGGCATAACGAAGATGTTGAACAAGAACGCTCGGCTGCTTACAATCCTAGACGGACCGTATCCACATTCAGCCAGCACCGAGGCTCTGGAGGCTGATCATTTGTTGTTGCTTGGAGGTGGTATCGGTATCACTGGTCTGCTGGGCTGGCTTTCTATTCATCCAAACGTCAAGTTGGCGTGGAGCGTCAAAGCGTCAGATCAAGCTCTAGTTGATGAGATGGGCACGGCCATCGCAAACGTCGCCGACAAGCAGGTTTTCGTCGGACAGCGCTTCGCTATTAGGAACCTGCTCCAAAAGGAGATTGATTTTGGCTACAAGAAGGTTGGTGTTGTCGTATGCGGTCCTGCGGATATGTGCGATGAGGTGCGAGCTTTGGTAGCAGGTCTGGGGAGAGGCAGCAAGACTGTGTTTGATTTGCATGTGGATGCTTTTTCCTGGTAGACTAGTTCAGCCGCGCCATGCTTGCTGGGTTGACTTGAGACTTGCCTGTTATGTAGGAATAAGGAATACATCTTCGCAACGGGCATATGACTGACTACCTAGGTAGGCATGTACATCACCTGGGCAGCGAACCGGCCATCTGGTACCCCATCAACATTGCGTCTCGCTGCATGTACAGTACCCTTTACCGTATATTCGACGCGGAGCTGATGTTCAATACATGTACTAAATTCCTGCATGTATCCGCGTTGCGCGCGACTTTGCACTCCAGGGCTGGCTTCGATGACGTCATTCGTTGGCTCTGCCTACATCTGGTTGCGATGTGAGCCTAGTTATGCCCGTTGTAACCTGACATGAAATCGAGCAGCTTTGCCATACTACCTCCAGAAGGTTGTTTGTATTACTAGAATTGCTCTCTTTGTTAGGTTCTTATACTCGAACACAGTCTTGACTGTGTTCTCAAGACGTCCAAACGCAGCGTCTAGTGACAGTTGCGAAGGTATCGTAACCTAGGTACTTTTGTACGACCTGTTAAGCATGCTAGTATTAGGTATCTTGTCGGGTAAGTCTTTCGACTAATTGTTCGTTCCGGCGTTGCGTCAGAAGTCATCAGCGACTAGATTATGCGCTCGACAATTCCCAGTGCCACAGGCATCACTGGAACACATTTGCACCGCTCCGATTTCTTCTACGTCTGTTTCGCCCCAGCAACAATCCTGAAGATACCCATGTCACTTGCTACTGGGCTGCCGACCGGACCGTCTATCCTTATCACGAACGGTACTCTTATGACCTCATGCTCTCCTAGGCTGGAAAGAATGCGCGGGCAGCTACAGATAATCGTCTCGTAATTCTTTGATCAAAATCGGATACACCGGGCAGTCGTACTGAACATTTGCGCAAGGATGGAAGGCGACATGTGCTGCGTTGGCTTCGCAAGCTTTTCGATCGTGAGAATGTCTATTCAATCACTGTCGAAGGTCTCGACTTCCCACTTGCGGATACTGGTGTGTGTGAGGCAAGGGTCGTGAAGGTTGTTTTGACAGCGTCTGTACAAATCCTGTAGTCTGTAGTTTCTGCCAGAGGTCATGAGTTGGGTACTACGCGTATGCAAGTAGGCTCCTAGGAAAGACGTCTTGATGATATTCTCGTCGCGGTTTATATCACTATCTCCGCTATACTCGGATGGTGAAAGGCCGCACTGACTCTCGATTGCGTGCTCACTCACTCAGCCCTTCACTGAGCCCGCTCCGCCACCGCCTACACCCGCCCCTTCACTCACCTGCCCGTCAACAACCTTAGAGACTCCCATGTCTATCCTGGTAATATATATCGCTGGTCGCGGTCTTATTGTACTATATATTATATGGAGTTTAGAAATATTCCATCAAAACATAAGGCATTGGGTCATTGGGACCAAACGCACGTCTTACATCGCGGTCTTTCAGGTCCGCATGTAATGGCCTGAGTTCGAAACTGGGTGTTGGATCGGTTAGCTTACAGTTGATCTTCTGCGGATTCGAATTCCAGTGGTGGCCTTTGTTATGATCTGGATGGCCGTCCCTTTTTTTGCTCTTTTTTGCGCCTTTTCGCGCGATCGTGTTCTTTTTGCCCTTCTCTTTCTTTTGTTACGTTCGAATTCATTTCCATATACCGCGGTATTAGGTAGGTGTAAGTGCGAGTAGTATTCCTCCACTTCCCGTCAATTTTAGCACTTCCGCCAAGAAGGTACGCGAGAAAGACTGTCCTGAGGTCGATGAGAGCACATTCCTTGTCGCTAAGAGGTCTTCCAGGACATATTCAAGATAACGGAAGGGATTAATGGGGTTAGACGAGAGCATTTTGACGCTTACACACATGATCAATTCAAAGTTAACCCAGAGCACAGCGGAGCCTGTCGTACACGGGTACCCCTTGAAGATATGTCTGATGTTTAATAATACGTCGAGTTTGATCGGCGGACTAGATGAAGATACCAAGAAAAGATGAAAATAAGCTGAGGATGATCAGGCTCCACGATGTTTGGTCGATGTGAGGCTATGGATGTGCGGAGCGGTACGGAAGAACAATGCACCGAGCCTCGGCTCACCCCCAGCTTGCAACATCCGGGGCAAGCTCCGATGACGAACATCTACCGGTGTGTCGCGATGGCTATCCATATTTCTCCCTACGACGCTTCCACCCTTCGTCTAACCTATACCGATTTGCAAAATGGATAACAGCTCACTCTTCGACGTCAAGGTACGCACATAATCCACCCGCACGTCCGATCTTCCAACTGACTCTCATCCAGGGCAAAATCGTCCTCGTCACAGGCGGCGCGAAAGGCATCGGTCGCATGATCAGCGAAGGCTTCGTCCAGAACGGCGCTACAGTGTACATATCATCCCGCGACGCCAAAGCCTGCGAGGAAGCGTGCAAGGAATTGAATGCCCTCGGCAAAGGCAAGGCCGACTTCATCGCAGCCGATCTATACAAGGAAGATGCAGCAAAGAACATAGCCGACGAGCTGAAAAAGAGAGCAGGCAGTAGGTCCTCCTATGGGTTGTCGTCTTTGCCATCGTCGTGAGACAATAGCAGTTGCTGATCGTGTATAGAGCTTGATGTCATCGTCAACAATAGCGGAAGCAACTGGGGCGAGTCGTACGATAACTATCCCGCCGCAGCATGGGACCGTGTCCTCAACCTCAACCTAAAGCGCGTCTTCCAGCTCACGCAAGCCGTCACACCCCTCCTCGAAGCCGCTTCTACCCCGAGCTCACCAGCACGCATCATCAATATCGGCAGCGTCGACGGCCTACGTGTCCCCGCGCTCGAGACTTTCGCCTATTCCGCTTCTAAAGCCGGTCTTCACCACATGAGCAGAGTGCTAGCGAGCCACCTGGGCAAGCGCGGAATTACAAGCAACACGATCGCGTGCGGTCCCTTCCAGAGCAAGATGATGAAGGCTACATTGGAGAAGTTCAAGGATGTCATTGAGAGCGGGATACCATTGGGACGCATCGGCAGCCCGGAGGATGTTGCGGGCACTTGCATTTGGCTATCGAGCCGCGCGGGATCCTATGTTAACGGCGCGACTATCGCGTTGGACGGTGGTAGCGTCGTTGGCGCGAAGTTGTAAATATAACTTTTGCATATCACATCACATCAACAAGAGTTACATCGATCAGACATGACAAAGGCTGAATATCCTCAGAACGTAACTGATTTCTACAGACATCTAGCAGAAGTACATGTATACCTCAAACCTCCTCGCGACCTACTCAGTTGTCGGCCCCATCACCGTGGTGTTCATCAACACCGTCAGTTCAGCCAGGGCCCGGCTCTGATCCGGCTTCTCCACATCCTCCTGAAGAATGGCCTTAACCTGCTCATGAGTCGCCCAGAAGCTCGTCTGATCAACCGCGCGATGCTCCTTCTCGTTCACCTCACTTGGATGCTTCAGGTCCTTGTCGATGGGAAGGAGCAAGGCCGCCAAGAGCTTCTCATCCCGATCAACCTTGGACATGCCTGGATGCATCAAGTCCTTATCATCAAAGGGGTCGAAATCGTCAGCCGGCTGATAGTCCTTGGAAAAAAAGCCGAAATGTTTGGCCGCCGCAAAATTGCCCGCGAGTTCCTTAGTCCGCTTCAGGTCCAAGTTCGCCTGGGCGAGCTCTTCCTTGTCGTCAACCTTCTGCTGCCGCTTCTCGGACCTCTCGTTCAGACCAATCAGCCACTGCAACGTCATCGCCGCACCGAATCTCTCAAAGATGTCTTCGTTCAGATGGCCTTGGCGCACGGCCCGCATGAAGTCGTCCGGTTTCGGCATGTTCGGGAGGAATCCGGCCTGGGCCTTGAGAATGTTGACAAGCTTGTTTACCGTCTTGCTTCGCCTCGGACTAAAGAAGTGGAAGTCAAAGGGCGAGTTCTGCCATAGGGCGACGAAGGCTTCGCGTTGGGTGAAGTTGTTTTGCAAAGGGTCGTACTTGAAGACCAGTGATTCAATCCAGGCCTATGTTTTATTAGCTGTGTGCATAGGGCATGAGGAGGCCAGGAGGGTTTCAGTATATTTTAAACCTCTGTGGGAAGTTTGAAAAGACACTGAAGATGGACAGGTAGTGCTATCGGGAAGATGACTTACACGCAGAAAGACCTTGACAAACTCCTCGCACCCCTCTTTGCAGTACTTCGGATCGAATCCTGACGCCCACGCGAATGCCATCAGGAGGATGTTGAACCGGATCTGGTCATAGAACCGCGAGAACGAATGGCCCTTGTCTAGACCATAGAAGAAGATCGCCTGATTGACGATGAGAGGCAAGCTCTTGTCGGCGAGGAAGTTGGCCTTGGCGATGTCGTTGTACAGGAGGAAGAAGGTGGTGAGTTGGAGGAACGGAGGAGCTTGAGGAACGACTGCCTCGTCGGGATGGAAGTAGATGCTGTAGAGAGAGGGCAGGAGAACGATGCTTGTGTTGACCTTGTACGTTTTGATGGCAAGCTTTTGCTCAGCATCGCGATGCAGAGCCTTGACTTCCACAACGTCCGGATGCTCAGGCTCAGCGTTGTCGTCCATGGCGACGTCGCCGTCGCGCTCGCGGTTGACGTCAACGTTGTGCTCCGCGACGTTCTCGCATTCGGTAAAGAAGACGATGTCCCCAGACTCGACGCCGTTGTCTACGTTGTCTGCGCTAACGCCGGTGTCGGGAAGATCACCCATGCTGATATCGTTGTCGTTCGGGCTGTCCATGATGTCGGTGGTGTCGTGTATACGGGCGTCAATAGACGAGTGGGATGGAGAAAGCAAGAAGAGAGCGGGGATATTGCGAAAAGTCGTCAAAACAACAAAAAGGTCCGTGGGCGCACATTCCGTAGGCGACGGAAAAACTAGATTTGCGGTCAGCCGACAGGTTCTTCCGCTGTTTCTGTTGTAGTGAAAGGAGAGGGTGGCGAGTTGCGTACCTGTGACCCCTGTCTGCTCTGCAAACGGGCGTCGGCGACATCGCCAGCGACATTGATACTGTGCTTGCTTTGAGGGGAGACTGGAAGATGGTGGAGTATAGAATGCAAGTATTAATGAGGAAGTGTAGGTCGCTGGTCTGTATACATGTCGCGAGACGCATTGAACAAGCAGTGAGTGTTTGCGACACCAACGGACTGTGTTCGCTTAAAACAGGAGCTCGCAACAAGTGACACCCTCGAGGTCTTTCGACCTGACCAGCTTCGTCTCCTGTTTGTTGCTCAAACACACATCAGCGAAATGAAGACATGCGTGAAGGAAGAGTGCATTACAGAAACTAGAGATGGACGTACCTGGGTAAGATGCACAAGCAGATGACAGTAACGAAGTTAAAATGATTGACTAAGATCGTGTCGTGTACGTACCAGAAGAAGAGCTACAGCACCCAAGACATGACAAAGTCCGCGCAGGCAAACAGTTCGGAGGACAGATACATCGTAGACATACCAACGTCGAACATCCAGAAATCTGAGCTTGGACACCCACACTACTTCTTGTTCACTTTCCATTCCCTGTATGATTTGTCCTCGGGCTCTTCTTCATTCTGCTCACCCTACTCCTCATTCTGTTCATCCACCTCCGAGTCGGACCAATTACGCTCGTCGTCAGTGTCAAGAAGTGACACACGCAGGCTGTTCAGTTTCCTCCTAGCGGTTCGCAACTCCGCCTCCAAGTCATCCACGTCCTGCTTCTCGTACACCAACCGCTCTCTACAGACCTTCACTTTCTTCTTTACAGCAGCCAAGTCTTCCTTCAAAGCATCTTGACATTCTACCAGCGAAGAGATCCTGCTATTCCTTTCCTTGACTTCCCATCTGAGTTTCGCGTTCTCCTTAGTCAACTTGCGTATGCGATATTGATCCCGCGTAAGGGGGGGTTTGGCGACGGTTGTCTGACGTTCGCCGGGTGTTGGCATCTCTTCTTTTTTGGGCGCTCTGCGTTGTAGGTTAGCGGAACTCCGGCAAAACGCTTGGACAGAGTGTGCAATTTTACTTGGTTTGTACCCGATCGCCAGAGTTGTAGCTTTGAGAGGGCTGTGACGAGGGCCCAGCGTGTGGTATCATAGAAGAATTCATCTCCGAGATATCCTCGCTACGCATTCTAGCGGCTTCAATATCGAGGGAATAAATCTCAATGAAATTCATTTTTCATGTAAGGCAGTTTGTAGTGAGGATGTGGTTTTGCAAAGTCGTGGGAGTTAAATCAAAGGCAGTGTTCACATCCACGCTCGGTACCAAAGATACGGTAATTATCGTACCAACAAAGCGGTAGTAGCAGTAATAGTAATAACCATGTTCTCATTGAGTCTACATAACCCATTCCAATCATAACCTCATCATTCATAAGTATACCAACTCTTTTTTAGCTCCCTCATCGCATCCTCTGCTTCCTTCCACTTCCTAGTCCCCTTTTCCGCGTCGCCCATCCACGTCATAATGCGTGCTCTGTTTCTCATATACTTGGACTCTGCCCTTTTCCTCTCTTTCGCTGTCTCCTTCAGGTAAGAAAAGTCGTCGTACCTGACAGCTTCCTTCCAGACGTCGCGCATCCTTGGACTCCACAGACAGCAGCTGGACCCGACATCAGGTTCTTCACCAGGGACTAGCTGGATCGACTTGTTGAACATGTGCGGTATGGACGATGACGTGGACCTGGACTGTGTGGCGGGCCAGATAAGCTCGTCGTAGCATTGCTCACAGACTGTGAACTCTGGTAGCGAAGGGATGAAGTGCCATGGTTTGCGGAACAAGATCTTGTACCTTTGGCACTCGCCTTTGTAGGAATTCTCGCGGAGCAATAGGACGAAGCGGCTCAGATCAGGGAGTTGACCGGACAACTCAGCCGCGGCGTCTAGCTCGACAAGCAAATCTAGGTACTTCGGGAAGCGGGTTGAGCTCGTACGCAAGCTGCATACGTGCCTGTCGTCCTTCGGCATCTTAGCGAAGCAACCACGAAGAGAAGGCAGCAAGGCCTCAAGCATCCTCCTATCGCTCGAGCATATAGCAAAGTTGGCTACACGGGTACCGTCGCGTGGGTTTGTAATGCCGTACCAGCTAATGCGGTCTTCTGCACCAGCCTCACGATCTCCAGGACACGGTTTGGCTACTGTGTCCATGACACCTGCAATTGCGTTGATCAGATCGAGCGATTTGCGACCTCGCTGAAGCGTCAACAGCCACGCAAGACGTGCCCATGGGCTGCTGAAATCACAGCTCCGCTCCAACGAATAGTCGTTCAGCCATATCTGTTTGAAGTCCACATCGAAGGGTGTACCGGCGAAGACACCTTCGTAACAACTAGGGCAGATGTTGAAGTTCTTGTTATCTTGGAGCGCGTACCAATCATCGTAAGGCCCAGATTTGTAAGGTCTTGGGCAGTCTGGAAGTTTTCTGTCCATTGAAGCAGTCCTTCGAGATGATCTGTCACGGCGGCCATCGTGAGAGCGAAAACTACCCGACCTGGACCTCCTTGGTCGTGAAGGCTCCTCCAATGTTTCTGTGTCTTGCCTCCTAGCCCGAGAAGGTAAATCTCGTGTGTACGGGGAGCTGGGAATTGACGGCGACGTCGCTCTCGGAATGTCCACGTAGCTTTGCCTCGGCGAACCGACGGTCGAGTGATCAAACTGATAATGCTCTTCGGGTGGCATAAAGACGTCAATGAGCTGGTCGTCGATGGGATATGGCAAAGAGTCGCCTGTGGATTGCCTCGCAGGAGATGGACTGTGCACATCGATGCGAGGCCTCGGGAGTGGCATGGTGTCATGTCGGCCATATCGAGAGGGTTGTCTTGACCTGTCGTCGGAAGGTGCTGGAGGATAGGTGGCGTGCCAATCTGACTCTGATACGGGTATGCGACCGCGGCCCGGCGAAGAAGGTTGGAACGAAGAAACGAGCGGAGAGGTTGGCCGAGGGCCACCGCGGGACGATGGTCGAGAGCCTGGAGGGGAGTCCCGCAGTCGGGTAGGCAGTTGAGGCGAGGGTGCTCGATACGATGGCGAGCTTGGTCTGGACAGCGGGCGTGAGCTGTTAGCATAGACAGTATCTACGGGTACAGGCCTCGATCGCCGCGTGCTGTGCACCGAAGACGAAGACGACCGCGGCGACTCAGCATTGGGGTACTCC